CTACTCTCTCTCTCTCTCTCTCTCTCTCTCTCTCTCTCTAACTTCAATATAATTAATTTAAAGCCAAAAACATAATGAAGTTGACCCACTAAATAAGAATTATGAATTTGAAACCTCATATGATAAACTTAAAAGATGTTAATAAGTCTAGTCGATAAGGATATCGACTATTAGTAATAGTATCATGAGATTAAATATTATATTTTCACTTATTTTTTCAACATTAAAAATGAATAAATAGATAAAAAGTTATAATTTTTTTCTATTTTGGTGTTTTCAAGTACTTCTCATTACTTATATTTTATAAATAAAAAAATATTATTTTTAGTACATCCGATCAAACTAATACATGTAACTCATTATATTAAGCACAAACATATTTCCTGTCATTTGAAGAATAGGAAATTTATCGGCCAAAGAAATCGACATGGAATTAATAGCAAATGCCTCCAATATGATGATCATGATTTTTTTTTTTTATTCAATTTATTGTTTCTGATTTTTTTTGCAAAAAAAAAAAGCAGAAACATGCATTTCCAATAAAAGTTAAAATAAAATAAATGAATAATTAATTAATAACAAAAAGAATAAAAAGAATTTCATACACTACATTCAGTAAATAATCTTCCAATTCCCAAATATTCATCCAAACTCTTCTTCCAGTGATCCAAAAAACAAAAAAAAAGGGAAATGGTAAATCAAATGTGGTGCAAAGTTTGAGACACAAGCCATGCTTCAATGCTGCGTCCTCCTTCACCAATCACCAGCTTTATAGCACCATATTTGTATGTATGTATAGAATAGAAGAGAATGCAATCCATGGCCCGTAACTTGGGACTTACGACAAGGAGGAGGAGACGACGGAGCACTGGATCACGTGCCTGCACTCACGTCCATGCAGGGAACAGGTCAAGTGCGTCAAGCAACATCCCTCCTCTCTCTCTCTCTCTCTCTCTCCCTTCGCCCATTCCCACACCTCCGTTTGCAGTCCTCGCAATGCTTTTAATCTTCTCGAAGATGGTAAACTATTGAATCTTTCCTTCGATCAGTAGATTATGGGATCACAAGGAAGGAAGGAAGGAATGAAACGAGGGATCCATGGCCATTAATTACTACTGTAGAATCCCGATGCAGCTTTTACCTCATCTTGCGCTCTCTCCTGTGCCTATCTACGCCGCACGTTACCTGCAAAGATGGCTAACCTGCACTCAAAGAAGCTTCGATAACACCAGCCAACAAGGAATGAATAATACGTGGTTCGGACCGACGGACCGGCGTTGGGCTTTCCGTGAAGACCGTTGACCCGTGCGGGGTCTCCCTATGTGAGATGCCGCCACGTTCACGGACGAAACACGTGTGCGGCCCGAACTGAAGCCGTGGCGCCGCCGCTGACGTCGACAAACGTAGCGGCTGTCGGCGGGCATACCGACACGTGAAATCCGAATACAGCACCGATGATATTATTAATACACCAAACAAAACACCCTTATGACTGAAATAATAATCCGACGACTCCTGTCTTTATTTATTTTATAGTATGTGATTTCTCCTTTGACATATGTTGATGTGATCACGAAAAAGAAAATTATTTTTCAGTAATCTTTTCACAAAATAATTACCAGACTGACTTTGCCTATAAATTCCAGTTTGGTGTCAATTTCTTGAAACGATTAAGATATAAATCAATTTTCTTAATCGACTCATTCCAATTTCACATATTTTCAGCACCTAATTTTAGTATCCAATCATTTAATTAATAGAGCATAACCTTATCCAATAAATATGCCATTGGTGCGTGTAAATCTCTCTACCATCCATTTCGCAAAGAGAAATGTAGCATCCCAAATATCTTCCTCGAGTGGGGGCAGATAGGAATAAATATCTATGTATACATGGAATTGGGATAGCTTATGGACTTGGGAAGTGGAAGCCAGGAGTATGAGAACAGAAACAACACAAAGGAAGAAGGCGAGAGAGCATGCAATGATGGGGACGGATGGAGAATCGAACATAGAGAAAGAAAATGGTGCATGTCTGTGGCTCGACCGAGCATTAGTGACAACATTATTCTCTCGTTTAGATGAGACTAAGCTACAGTCCCACCTTCTGCTTAAAGAAATTAAAACGTGTTTGTTTAGTCAACCTTGCAGCGGAGAATAAGCTTGACTACAAAGAATAATTAGCCTCCTTGATTTTTGTTGTTTTTTGTTTCTCTTGTGAGAGATGAGCTTATTGAAAGTTCATATTTGAAAGTTGATTACACAATTATGCTCCTGATCGAGCCATGCATAACAAGCAATCGAATCTTGCATCAACAATCACATATTGGATCTTAGAGAAATAACAATGTAAGGGAAAGATTTCATATATTAAGCCATGATCAAAGTTTCTCAATATTTCATGATTTGATAAAATTGTGTTATTTGTATTATAGTAGCCTTCCCTTGACATATATATGTTTCAGGATTGATTTATGTGTTTCATGCAGCACCAAACATTGGTGAACTTTAGGCAATACAATTATCTCTCAGCAAAGGGATTGGTAATTAAGAGTTATTGGATGCATTGTCTTGTGGAAGATCTACAAGAGTGATGGCACATTATCCAGCTAGTAAAATAGTACATGGATATAAAATTATGGTGCTACTTTCCTTATCTTCCACCATTAGGAGTTAATAAAACTTAAAATTTCAATAAAAAATTATTTTCATTATTCCTAAAATATGACTTACTAATCACTTAAAACATTTTTTTTTGTATTTATTCAGTCATCGTTAATTATTGAGTTGAAGTTGGATTAAGCTGTCATTCTCTCCACCAAACAAATGGCCTGCAGATGATAGATAAACACACTCCCCCAATAAGAGTGCAAGAAGCTCCTCCCTCATCTGTCTCTTCTTCCCAAACATATATCCACTCCCACAAAATAAATCCAACATTTACCACCTTTCCCACAAAATAAAGATTATTGGAATGCAGGCTCACATTTATTTGCTGTGTAATGTTTGTCCAAATCTCTTTCATCATCATGATCCATCCTAAAAGGCTTGCTTTAATTGAGAATCTTGGATGAAATGTGATCATGGAGTAATTTGCTATCCAAAATAGCCATGTATGTTTTGGAGGAAAAGAAGAATTCACAGAAGAAGAAGAAGAAGAGTGAAAGGCAAAAGGAAAGGGGACAAGCATCGAAGGGATATGATAAAGAGTTGCATGGGAGCATTCGAAGCTTCGAGGCTTGAGGTTGAAGCATGCTCCCGGGGAAGCAACCGAAGCGACCGGTCAACGCCATTTGACCGTGAGCTGCACGTGATTCCCACCATTTCCCAGTGGCAAAACCGTCATTTCAAACCCAGTCCAAGTATTTGGTCTCCCTTCTTCTCTGCTATATATATACGGATGGCAGCCTTATCTCGCTGCATCCATCCATCCATCCATCCGTCCCCCCGACCTTGCCTTCGCCTCTGCCTCTGCCTCTGCCTCTGCTCTCGTCGTCGCGCACGGAGAAGGATTTGTGAGACTCATGCGGACGAGACGGGGCTTCTGCTACCGCATGCCGCAGAGCGAGCGCCAGTGGAGGGCGGTGGAGGAGGAGGAGAGGAGTCGGAAGAGGCGGCGACGGCTCCCTGCAGGAGGAGGAGGAGGAGCGGACTCTGGCGGCCAGAAGATGGCCACGGAGGGCGTCGCTGAGGACGTGCCCGACTTGTTTGACGGCCTCCCCGACGACCTTGTCGTTTCCATCCTTAGCAAAGTCAGCGCCTCTGCGGCTTCCCCCTCCGATCTCATCAGTATCATGATAACGTACTGTTCTTACTTTTTTGTTTTTTTTAGTTGGATATTCGGCTTGTTTGTTTCGATTTTTGTGATAAAAATCTGATTTTTTGGGGGGGTTGGTTTTGATAGTTGTAAGAGGCTGAAGGGATTGGGCTCGAATCCCCTTGTGCTGGCCAAGGCGTCGGCGCAATCGCTGGCGGTTAGAGCGAAGAACTGGTCGGAATCGGCGCACAGGTTCTTGAAGCGGTGCGCCGATGCTGGGAATCTGGAAGCTTGCTACATCCTGGGCATGGTAGGCGCCGTCTCCCTGTTCTGTTCTTGCCATAAAGGAGGGATTTTGAGAGGGATTAGAGGAGACAGATCTCATCCTGCGCTGCGATTTGGTCGTGCAGATTCGGTTCTACTGCCTGCAGAACCGAGGGAGCGGCGCGTCGCTGATGGCGCGGTCGGCGATGGGCTCCCACGCCGCCGCGCTGTACTCCCTGGCGGTGATCCAGTTCAACGGCAGCGGGGGCGACAAGGGCGACAAGGACCTGCACGCAGGGGTCGCCCTGTGCGCCCGCGCGGCCTTCCTCGGCCACGTCGACGCGCTCCGGGAGCTCGGCCACTGCCTCCAGGACGGCTACGGCGTGCGCCGGAACGTCGCCGAGGGCCGCCGCTTCCTCGTCCAGGCCAACGCGCGCGAGCTCGCCGCCGTCCTCAACTCCTCCTCCCTCTCCGCCGCGTGGCGGCAGCACCACCACCTTCACCGCCACGCCCTGGCCTCCGGCTGCTCCCTCCTGAGCGACTTCGGCTGCAACGTACCGGCGCCGGAGGTCCACCCGGCGAACCGGTTCATGGTGGAATGGTTCGCGGCGCGGGGCGCCAGCGGCACGGGGGAGGAGGGACTGAGGCTCTGCTCCCATGGCGGGTGCGGGCGGCAGGAGACGCGGCGGCACGAGTTCCGGCGCTGCTCCGTCTGCGGCGCCGTCAACTACTGCTCCAGGGCGTGCCAGGCGCTCCACTGGAAGCTGGCGCACAAGGCCGACTGCGCTCCCATGGATCGGTGGCTCGACGCTGCCGCCGGCGCTGCTCCACCGGAGCCTGCCGGTGGTGAGTTGGCATTTAATTGAGACGACACAGGAGCTTTGTGAGGTCGGCCTTTTCTTTTTCTCCTTTTTTTTTTTGTTCTTTCTTCGTTGTCTTTTTTTTTTTGGTATTTTCCTGTTTTTGTACATAAGGCAAAAAAACAAAACAAAAAAAAAAAAGTTTATGTGTTCATCCTTTTTTTAAACTTCAATAGAGGAAAAATAGTTACAAAACATATATTTCTTCATCTTTTCCATAAATCTAAAAACGTTTTCTAGCATGGAGTGTGATACAAAAAACATAAAAGCTAAATGTTGTAATTATTTTACGTGGGGATGGATAGCGAGAAGAGAAATGAAATGGCTGGGTATCAATCATTATTAGAAATGTTTATCATATTACCTAAGGGCGGTTTAAATACATTAGATAATATTATTGTAGTATATATTCATCGATAATTTTAATGTTTTTATATTACCATAACGCAGCGGTAAATTAATTGTTATATATATATATCAAAATATACTATGGTTGTGGACATGATTTAATTGTTACCAAAGTAGGTAAAAGAAGAATTAATTTGACACCTCAAATGGATATGGCATTGGAGTAGGCCCCAATGTCTCTCAATAGAAGCGAAAGTAGAGAAGCCAAGAAAGAAGGTGGCGTGCGTGACTTGTGACCAGCTTTTCTTACATACACAACATACATACACATATCATGATGATGATGCATGCTTTGGGTGATGTTTCTCGCGAGGAAGCCCTTTTTTACTCACACGAGGTGGACCAGGTTAACTCACCTTTGCGTTGGGGTTAAGCTTGTGAGCCTGTCGCCGGAATAAAGTGCTCTCTCTCTCTCTCTCTCTCTCTCTCTCTCGTTTTTACTGTGACGACTGATATGTACAAGTGAAGGTACAAGGAATCCAAGGATATAACTTTTTCCCCCCTCTCTTCTCCCGTTTATTCTTTATTGTTTACTAAAGAAGAACAGTAATGTTACTCTTAATATATATATATATATATTGGATGATTCAGTCAACCTAGATAGTCATTAACATTACACTTATGCTTAGGATGAAAATTCCATGTGCTATTGCTACGTCTAAGATGGCTTAATCTATAGCTTACCCATCGATTAAGCTAAGTTTTGCAAAAGTAGCAACTAGTGCTTGTTAATTTCCAGCGTAGGTGGCATGTAAACTGATCACTTGAACATTACTTTTATGTTGAGAAGCCCTTGTCATTTGCTGACTGCTTTATCAGGTCCGTCTGACTTGATCTTATCATGCCAAAACTTCACATCATACCCATGTTTAAACTAGTGCAACACACTCTCTCTCTCTCTGGTAATCCAACTACAAACTTGTACTTGTACGCCTGATGAACACAGATTAATTTAAATGTTTCTTCGCCACTTCCTGATGAAGAAGATTAGGTATATGGCGTTGTCTTCATGTCAAATCACACTTACAAGAAGATTAGTGTTCATCGTCATGATAGAAGATGATGTCTTCTCACAGTAGCTTTCCCATAACCCCTCGAGACAAGAGAAACCTAATGGATCAAATCGGTGGGTTAGAATCGATCACCTGCAACGTCGACTCCCCACTGATTGGATCGGGAAGCAGGTTTCCAGAGCTCTGGTGGGGCAGCATGTCTACCAAGGCTTAGGGACATGTGGCAAGGAGCGCAAGATAGTTGAGCTTAGAGGTAAGGTAGCCCCGCCCCCCTCTCCCATCTTCCCTTTTCACCGAGTCCCTTGGCCTTGTCCACGTACCGCTGCTCCTTCAACCCTAAGGGATAAGGCCCGCGCGTCGTTGGTAGGGCACAGAGGGCAGCAGCTGTTCCATGTCACGTGCATGGATGCGTGGAAGATAATGCGACGAGAAAGGGTGGAAGGAGCAGTACTGTTTCGTGGTGTTGTGTTACTCGTATTATTTATTATGTGCTTTGCTTTCGTGCTGTGCCATCTTTTTCCTGTGCCGGGTTTGGGACTCGGGTTGGGGTGCCTCCATGTGTTGCCACACGTGCCACCCCCAGAGACGCGTGTGGACATGCAACCGGGGTGTCGTGGCCACAACATTTCGTGTTTTCATTTGATCGGGATATGCTCCTCCCAATTGTTTTGGATTATCTAATATGTATATCTATCATTTATTATTAATCGTATGTTGTTATCTGACGTCGTCGATGAAGGATCGATCGAGAAGATATATTCGAGAAGTCGAATTGAGTGGATTTTCATACATGCAAAAAAGAAAAAAGAAAAGTGAGAGTGAATTATTTATAGTTGAGGTAATAGGATTATTCTCGAGGATGATTGATATTAAGAATGTAAAGTATAATCCTTAATTAACATTAATCATAATTAAAAGTGATTGATGGAGTAGAGATATCCTGGCCGCACACTTGGTTGTCCAACTCCCATTGGCTGATCGAGTTGCAGCCCGAGTCGAACCTTGGGAGCCTTATGGTGATGAAGCCGATGCAGTAGAACATGTCTGGGGATTCTCCCAGCAGCTGCACGGATGAAGTGATCGATCCCTTCATTCTCATTCCATATTCCACATCATGTTCCCTCTGCTCCACATTCTGTGCCAAAACCTTCGAGTGGAAGGAATGCTGTTAGCTTCAGAGTCAAGCATCGGCATGCATCGGGATTCGGATGGCGGAAACAAGAAGACGAAGAGGAAGAAGAAGAAGAAGAAGAAGAGAACTGTGGAGACAAGGGCATGCAGGAACAAATAGGGATTGGGGGAGATGAGACGTTGCTTCACGTATATGGCTTCTTGTTCCCTTCCCTTCTTCGTTAGGTGCGTGATCGCACGTGGTGCGTGGCTCCAAAGGTGGACGTTACGTGCATGGGAAGCAGACGACTACGTGCATGGAAAGCAGACGACGTCGTGCGTCGTCGTCTCTCGCCAACCAGTCCACCATGCATGGGTTGGTGTGGCCAACAGTGATGACCGCTTGCCGTGGCCGTGTCCTTCACTTCATCCTCCTCCGGTGGTACTCAACGCAGATTATTGACCTGAGGAAGTGATGATCCAATCTTCTTGATAACTCTGATCGAAGTCAATCCATACATATCCATATCTAGTAATTCAAATCTCAATAGAAAGATTTGATCTCAGGTCATGACATCAATCTGCTTACATCTCCGCTCACCATCATTCAGCAATGCATGGAGTTTGTCTCATTATTTAATCAGACGACAAACTCGACCTCTATCCAAACCAATCGTGTGGTGTTGTTACGATCTTTGCTAAAGGAACATTATCCAAACATCATTCTTGTGCTTAAGAACAATCTTCTCTTGAAATAAGGTGGTACTCGATAGGGAATAACACAGCATATCAGTTCGATCTCAAAGTAATGATGATCTCTTAATAGGTCATCGATTAATATCCATCTACGATTTTGTGAAACTTGTAGTACCAATGAAAGAAGAACATATACTCGTCATTCACGGAGAACACACACACACACACACACACACACACACATATATATGCTCGAATTATCACATGCTCGATGAGCATCATTCAATATACATGTAATGCTTGGGATTAGGAATTACGTCAAGTAAACATTTATTTAACGTCTTTAGTGTTTAACAAAAGGTTTGGAAATGGTGAAGATGTTGCTTGACACTTTAGTTTGCTACCTGCATGGATGCCGGTGTGCTGTTCTCATGGTAGTCACCTCCTTCGCATCCACGTCTCTCGGTCCACATGCAAACCATAAACTATATCACGCTCTGCATGCCCGAGAAGAGCAGAGGCACGGTTGAAGCCAACAGGCATCATGTCTGAGACCATCCCTTCCTTGTGTTGTGTTGATTCAGTACTCCTTTTAAATGATCCGTCAGATGTTCTGAGGGAGGAGGAGGTACATGGTGGGAGACAACAGATGGCATGAGTTCATGATACCATGTGATGAAAACATCATTCAGATGATATGCAAGCATTGCTTGCTCTGAGGGAATCAAAGTAATCAGTTTAAGACAAAAGGCATGGAAGCTAGAGTTGCATTGCTGATGTTATGATGGAGAAGAAGAACACAATAAAAGCATGGAAATCATTCCACTCAACCTTCATAATTCATCTTTTAGCAACAAAGCAACATCGAGATTAAAAGGTCTGTCCTCCTTTTTACCTGGAAGCTTACTCGTTAAGCATCAGCTTCTCATCCTTGTTGGGGACATTGAGGTTGGTTGGTGGCCATCCATGCACACAATCATTATGGTAACATGAGAGCAAGCCAAGTCAGGCTAGGCTAGGGTTTTCTTGTCCTTCGAAGTCAATGCAATCCAGATTTGAAAGTCTTACTTACCTGTTGACTTCTCTTGCAAGAAGAGTGAGTAGGAGATGCACATGAGCAGATTCATCATCGCTGCAACAAATGGTAGGTCTGCCACCTGCAGTTATCTTATGTGCTGCTTAGCTTGAGGTTTGGAGAGTCAGCATCCGAAACCTTGATCTTCAACTTGCATGTAGATGATATTAGGCTCATGTATTTCTAACATCATGTGAAGCACACTCATAATCCAAATGGAAGCAAGCCTTCAAGCATACTTGCCAAAGCATATGTTGTACCTTTGACCAAAATCAATCGTGAAGATTAATTTTGAAGTAAGTGGAGACATGGTGGTGATTTGAAGCACCAGATAGGGAGTCAATCCATCTTTGTTCACATCAAAACTAGGTCCCATAATTAGGTGGGGAACCCACTAAGGTTTTGCTTCCGAGAACAACATGACACATGGATTGGGTTGTGGCGGCTGCTCGGTTAGTAATGCCAACAAAAGAGGATTGAATACATAAAAGCCGAGACTTATGCAACAAGATGTGCTAAACCTAACAAGTATAGTCCTCATTGAACACAAGAGCTAGTAAACTGAAGGCCACCTTAGATCTCTCTGTCTTGTTACTGTCTGAAAGATTACCACACACTCAAAGACAAACTTGAGAGTGCTGCTTTAAGCATACAGTGGCAAGAAATTGAATGGTCAACCTGTAGAATTCCATAGGGAACTCGAGTGTCAAAATGTTGCGGACAAACTAAAAATCCTAAAAGGTGAAAAGAATTTGCGTTAAGAAAATGGGGAAAAGAAGAAGAGAAGAACCGGCAAACTTCACGCAAGAAAACAGCCAGCATAGTCACAAAAGAAGAATATATGATGGCATGTCTTCGGTCCTCATCACATCATCCGTCAAAAGCTCCCTCATCACTTCAAAACTTCCTATGAAGCAAGTCACATATCTTTCCGATTAAAGAAGACAACAAACCACAATCAAAAGAATAAAGATGAGGCTGCGATGAAGTCAATGCAGACACTAACGTTAAATTCCATGTAGGAGGCATTTCTTTCTAGCCATTTCTTTCTAGCAAGTCGAATATACCAAAAACCAGCAGCAGATTGGCTGAAGCTTCACCTGACAAACAATCACCATGCACCAAGGATTTCAACAGGATAACTCTTGGGTAATAAAGCATTGGTGCTTTCCTTGCTTAAACCCATGTATATACATAGCTTATGCTCACAAGAAGGTATACAAATGTAACACGAAAACGAAGCTTTCCAAGTCTGACTCATCAAGTAACATTTGCATTATGTTTGAAACAAGATATGTGTACCTTACTTATGAACTAGTAAACTAAGCAATGACTGGAATAACTTGATTCGTAAATCATAGCTACCAGCTGATACAAGAACACAAGGTTTTAGCCAACTAGATATACCAATCTCCACATCTTCATGTTGATTAGATCTGGTATTTGGTTCAAACAACTTACACAGTCTAAATTCTTGGTTTGATCAAGCTCAATGTCAATTCTAGACGAACAAACCTACCTCTCCCATTTAATATATTCCATAGATAATTGTGGCTCATTCAGCTAGTAAATGACTCCCAGAACAAAGGAGATTGTTGATTGTACGAGGCAATTTTCTTTCAAGTAGCTCATGGCCATGACAGAATCCGTTTTGACTCCACAAAATGTCAAAAGGTTTCATGTACAGAAATTTCGCACTACAAGAAAATAGACTTTGGTCTATTTGATTGTGCTGACACAGAACTCATGCTTTGCCAACATGGACTGTATGGCATAGAATTCCTGCACTTAAACATATGCCTCATGACAATGCAACTGAAATCCTGATTCAACAATAAAAACACTGTTATTTGATTCAAGAGATGAGGAGATTTCCCCTTTTTGCCAATCCTAGATGTTACTGACCATACATTGTTGCAGTTTGTTTCCCTTTTTTTTTGCTTGATTAACAGTAATCGATCAATTTAGTCAAATCTAAACAAAGATGACTATAAATTTGCTGACCATGGTAAGGTTCATTTTGCATAGGTTTCACCATTTACTGATAAATCAAAGGCGACAATCGATATCTGCTACGACCATATGTTAGCTGCTTCTTCAAAGATGACTATAAATTCCTCATGGAATCAAACCTTGAAAAAGTAGGAAAAGGCATCATCTGAGGCATCCCACCTAAGTGGTCGGCAATTGGAAAAGACAATTTCACTTTATTAAAGCAAGAAACCAAAAAGAAAGAATTCACATTATCTTCAGCTCAACGGTGATCATTTAACAAAGAATTACTGCCATGTTACAAGTTGCATCAAATATTACCTGATGGTCTTTCCTCTCTTTTCCTCTGCAAGGGGGGGCTTTGGATATGTGCTGCTGACAACCCTCTCATGGCTCAAACCATTGCACTGTCTCCGGCCTAAGCAAGGCGGAGGAGCTATCCCTCACCAATCTCCTCATTCGCTTTGACTCACTATGCCTTGAAAATTTTGTCCAAGGAACTGCTCCGTTCCTTGGTATCTTCGTGGTTTACTAAGACAAATTTCCAATCTCTGTAGTAAGCTAAGTTTCAGCATGTGTCGCTGTCAGAGCAGCAAATTTTGGGAGATTCTGTTCATCTCCAATTTTTTGGTGGCTGGCTGGTTTTGTTCAGAACGCTTAAGCTTTTATAAAGTTACATCTTTATTTTAAAAAAAAAATGTTACAATTACATGCTATGTAGTACACTAATTATGTTAGGTAAAATATTTTGATTGTGCTAAATCAATAAGTTTACATGTAAATGTCAAGAACAATAGCAGTACAAGGCATGAAACACATGGAATTGTAAAAATAAATTTGACGGAGAAAATAATTATTGATTTCTAAATATCACTCTTTTTTTTGTATTTCTAAATATTGTTCATCCGTGATAGAATTATTATTTCTTTACGACTTGAGGGTTCGAATTATGAAAATAATTTTTTTTTAATATTTAAGGATATGATTGTGTTTATTAATCCTTCATGACTTTTGTATTAGTGAGAGCTTCGGGATATATATTTTTTTATTTTTAATTTATAATAATAAAGTGAAGATGGGCATGCAATCTTAGTAACTTATAATAATCCGATAAAATCTTTACAAATTAAATTAATCAAATGAGCATGTGATGGCCCAAATAGATTCTGATGGGGGAGAATCTTTCTAGATGGTCAACGCGACAGCCGTAGGTGGTCGGCGTCAGTGTGAGTCATCGCCTCTGGGAAACGCAACGTCGCTTGCTGCCCTTTCCTCTTCCCCTGTGCGAGCAACGCATGCTTCTGTCGTCTTTGCCCGTATAACATGATCACACTTCTTCCGTTCTCTACGACTTCAGTGACTTACATAGAATCTTACAATAATAATAATAACAACAACAATATCACTAAAAATAAATTATAAGATAACAAAATGACGTTGCCTTCATGTGCTCTCACATGCATGGTTACGATACATACACACAGCTCGTGGGGCACGCTGTAGCCACCGTTTGCAAGTACAGTACCAACCTCACTGCACTAATAATAGTATTATAATTCCCAACACACCCACGCAAACCATTTCGGTGAATGTTATATATCACCCGATTTCCAAAAGATGTCAATCGTGAAGGGAAAAAAGCGTGCAATGGCGTAGACTTTCTTCGGTCTCCTTCAACCAAATATGAAACGGTCGATGCCATTATGACCGTCCATTTCCGTCTCCTGTCCTTTTTCGAAAGTCTAAATAAAGCTATGTCAAAATTTCAACCACATACAACAAAATAAATAATATATATTATGGAATCATCGATGGCAGTCGTTATTTGTTGATAATGTTGATCAATTATCATCCTCAATTTTCACAATTATGAACTTTCGTCGATCCGTAGGCAGATGTCGACGTAGATGCAGAGCATCCATATCTATGTCGTCATTTCTTTTTTTTTTTCTTTTGTCTCATCTTTTGTTGTCATTCTTTTTTTTTTTTTTTTTTATATTCATCTATCTTCTCTTCCCTTTCCTATCCCTCATCTTACTTTCCTTTTTCATTGTTTTACATTTGCATTGATGTCGATGCAAATGTCGATCGACCATTTCGTTGTTAAAATTAATTTTTTGTCCATTATTTTTATATCATTCCTACACGTGTTATCACTGTCTAAATATATATTATTTATAAATCATTAATTACCACCACCATCCATTTAACAGCATATTCTTCTAAATTTAGCTTAATAACTAATTTTTTATTTCTCAATAACATATCTACATGTATTTTGGAAACCTTAAATGATAAGGATATTAAAAATCTTATGAAAACAACAAAAGTTAGAAAGAAGGTACCGCCTACACACTAAAATAAGTTACCTCTTTATTCTTAAGTAGAATAAAATATATTTAATCATATTAATCATAATTAATTATTTTTAATATCTCGATCTTTATATTTTTAAAAATTATATTAGATTCTTTATACTCATAAAAATAAAATATTTAATTATATTTTTTCTTACATCATCGATTCGAAAATACTACAGTGATAAATTAAAGTGAGATAGAGTCTGATAAATAAAATTGATCATGTGAAGAAAAATATGATTTAAATATATTTAATATAATTATTAAAATATAAAAATATAAATATTAAAAGTAACTAATTATAATTAGCCCGTTAAGACTAAGACGAGCTGCAATTTTAAGTATATAAATATATTCAAACCTCGTCTGTTTCCTCCCTGGACTTCGGCTCTACGACTCCCCCCACTCACCGCCGCGTCCCGATCTCTCTGTTGCCGCATGACAGGAGCAGAATCCCGGAAGAGCCCGTTTGTGCGTCCCGATCTCTCTTTCGCCGCATAAGAGTAGCAGAATCCCGGCAGACCTCGTTCTCCATGGATATCGTGGACGCCTACAGAGGCGGTAGCGCGACGGTAAACAGCTCGTCCATATGGAGGCGTGGAGAGGACGCCGTCTTTTCGCGCTCCTTCTCCCGCGACGGGGAGGACGACGAGGAGGCCCTCATGTGGGCGGCCCTCGAAAAGCTACCGACCTACGACCGGGTTCGTAGGGGGCTCCTTTTGATGAGTGAGGGAGAGCTCCGGGAGATCGATGTCAACCGCATCGGCCTCGAGGAGCGGAAGAGATTGTTGGAGAGGCTCGTTAGGGTTGCTGAGGAGGACAATGAGAGGTTCCTGTTGAAGCTCCGGGAGCGGATCCACAGGTGACATGCCCACCCATTTCTTTCGATGTTTCAATCTTGTAGTTCGTTCTTGAAAGATAAAAGAAAAAGATATCTTTTGATTCTCTCTCTCTCTCTCTCTGAAATCTTGGAATTATTTATTTAATGTGTTGGAGAACTGCTGACTATGATCTTTGAGAGAAAAACAAAAAGGGGGACCTATCACTCCTCAAAGGTTCAACTCTCATCTTGTTAGATTTTGTCCATTATTCTTCCCTACTAATCAAGGGTATCGTGGATATAAAAGTGATTTTTCCATCTCGAGGGGATTTAAAGTAGAGAACATGAAGCCCTCCCCGACATAGAAGAGAATGATTTTTCGGAGGAGGAGGTCTTTTGTATATGATGGCCTCTTTTTCAATGAAAAAGAGTTTCGGTGAAAATATTATACAATGTATTCTTCCTCAATGACAAACAAATCTGCCCAACAAATAAAAAAAGTTAGATCACTAATGTTCTGGAGGAACAATGGATTTTATCTCACCAAGTAGAAGTATACACTTGGTTCTTCCTTGTATGCTTTTACTTATCAAATCTATTCTTTCAGAGTTGAACTTGAATTTCCTACCATTGAGGTGCGTTATCAGCACCTAAACATCGTAGCTGATGCTTACATTGGAAACAGAGGCTTACCAACATTCTTTAACTCGTATCTTAATGCCGTTGAGGTACATAACATGTTAGATGTTTTCTGTGAGCAAGTGTTAAGTTCCTTTACCTTTTATTCTTCAACCTCAAATCTGATGTGTGTTGTCACTTTAATTTCTTTGATCAAGGCCTTCGCTAACTATCTTCATCTGCTACCAAGCAAGAAAAAACCATTAAGCATCCTCCATGACGTTTGTGGCATCATCAAGCCCCACAGGTAACTGAAACAGCATTTCTTTATTGGCACACAAATGCTAGATCTTTGGTATGACTTAATGTTCTTGCTTCATTAACTGTTCTATCATCCATTTTTTAGGATGACATTGCTACTAGGCCCCCCAGGGTCAGGAAAGACCACATTATTGTTGGCTCTTGCCGGAAAGCTGAACTCAGAGCTTAAGGTCAAGATATTTCCCTCTCTTAGGAATCTTTTCATTATTTTCTCTTTGTTATGATCCCCTAATTATTCATGTGAAACTAATATAAAATTTCCAATCAACCTTATTTACAACGACAACAAAATAGGTGTCGGGAACTGTTACTTACAATGGCCATAACATGGACGAATTTGTTCCTCGGCGAACAGCTGCGTACATCAGTCAACATGATCTGCATGTAGGGGAAATGACAGTGCGTGAAACCCTAGCTTTCTCTGCCAGGTGCCAGGGTGTCGGTTCTCGTTATGGTAAGCGTCACCCCTTCCATTTGGGTATGAATAGCTCCATGGTGAACTGAACTTGGTTCTTATAATATATATTCTCATTATGAACAGATATGTTAACTGAGCTATCTAGACGGGAGAAGGCTGCAAACATCAAGCCAGACCCTGACATTGATATCTTCATGAAGGTAAAATAAGATAATCTTCTTATGATGTTAACTTTTTCAGATTCCAAGATTGATGCTCTCTGGTATTCATCTCTATGAAATAAATTTATATTGGTCTGGGTAGATATTTGAAGAATTTAATGGTCATCGTCATTCTGGTATGTGATTTTCAATTCATTCAAACGGTTCTTGATTCACAGGCGACTTCAATAGATGGACAGGAAACCAATGTGATAACTGATTACATTCTAAAGGTATCAATTGTTTATCATGGTGTTCACATGCAGCAAGTTCACTTCCCAGAATCACATGAGTGAGTGCCTTCATTTTATTCTTTTTCTCTGTGTACTTCAACAGGTTTTAGGATTAGAATCCTGTGCCGACACCATGATTGGAGATGAAATGTTGAGAGGCATCTCTGGAGGACAAAAGAAACGTGTCACCACAGGTACTTCCATATACAGACTCATCATAAGAACAAAACCTTTTCTTAAATTGCGTCTGATCTTTCCTATGATGTCCTATGTTGGTGATCTTTGCTGATTTGTGCTGGATGTCTGGTAATTTGGCAATACTACACAGGTGAGATGATTGTTGGGCCATCGAGGGCACTGTTCATGGATGAGATATCCACTGGTCTAGACAGCTCTACCACATTCCAAATTGTGAATTCTCTCAGGCAAACGGTTCACATTCTCAGCGCAACGTGTGTCATTTCACTGCTTCAACCAGCACCAGAGACGTATGAACTCTTTGATGACATAATTCTTCTTTCAGAAGGACAGATTGTTTATCAAGGGCCTTGTGAGAATGTGCTTGAGTTCTTTGAATCCATGGGCTTCAGATGTCCTGAGAGGAAAGGCGTTGCAGACTTCTTGCAGGAGGTAAGTTAATAAACTGTAACATGATACTTAAAAATTGACTTTGTAGCTTGCCCCACTATAATGATAAAGCTCCTGGTGATATTTTCAGGTAACGTCAATGAAAGATCAGCAGCAGTATTGGGTGCGAACCAATGAAGTTTATAGATATGTACCTATCAGGGAATTTGCAGATGCATTCCAGTCATTCCATGTGGGTCAGCAACTTGGAAGAGAACTTTCAGTACCATTTGACAAGAGGAAAAGCCACCCTGCTGCTCTGTCCACATCAAACTATGGTGTCAGCAAGAAGGAACTCTTGAAAGCATGCATGTCGAGAGAGCTATTACTGATGAAGAGAAATTCCTTTGTATATGCTTTTAGAGCATTTCAGGTTTGCAATATATTCTGCACAGCTCAGGGCCATAAGTCTATAGATTCTGTAATCATAACACATTCTGATTTTGTTCTTGCAGCTCATGATCATGGCAATTATCATGATGACTCTATTCCTCAGAACCAACATGCACCATGATTCAGTCAATGACGGGGTGATTTACATGGGTGCCTTATACTTCTTAATCCTAATTCACTTGTATAATGGCTTTTCTGAGCTTGCTTTGACCGTCATAAAGCTTCCTGTTTTCTTCAAGCAACGAGACTATCTCTTTTATCCAGCATGGGCTTATGCTCTACCAGCATGGATTTTGAAGATTCCTATAACATTAATTGAAGTTGCTGTCTCCGTGTTCTTGAGTTACTATGTTGTAGGATTTGACCCAAGTGTTGCAAGGTAGAAATTCATGTGTGCTAGTTGAAATCTGATATTGCTGATTCTCGAACTCAATGGCATAATGCCTGCTTTTCAGGCTATTTAAGCAGTATTTGCTGCTCCTATTGGTCAATCAGATGGCCTCTGGACTCTTCAAATTCATGGCTGTGCTAGGTAGGAATTTGGTAGTTGCAAATACGATAGCATCCTTTGCTCTGCTTGTCCTGACAGTGCTTGGAGGATTCATCTTATCACATGGTATGTTCTGCTTAATGTCTGCCATTCTATTCTAGACCAACTTCATTGTCCAACTTGGGTTCTTGATTCAATGATAGGAACTTTATGCCTCTTATTTGACAGATGATGTGAAGAAATGGTGGATATGGGGTTACTGGATCTCACCACTAATGTATGCACAGAATTCAATCTCGACAAACGAGTTCTTAGCAAAAAGTTGGAAACAAGTAAGAGAAGACATTCTTGCTCCAAAGAACGAACCATTTGAGAGAACATTTGACCTCATTTCTGCAGAAATTTAATTGCAGGTTGTGCCTGGATCAGAAAAGGCTCTGGGAGTGATGATTTTGAAGTCTCGTGGAATTTTTCCAGAGGCAAAATGGTATTGGATTGGAGTAGGTGCATTGGCTGGATACGTTTTACTGTTTAACAGTCTCTTCACTCTTGCTTTGACATATCTAAAACGTGAGTATCGATAAGAAAACACCATGCTGATGTCATTGTAAAACAAATTCAAAGTAGAGTAGCTGTGTTTAAAACCATTCTTTTGAATGCTTGCAGCATATGGAAAAGCTCAGCCAAGTTTAACTGAAGAAGCATTGAGGGAAAAACATGCGAATATAACAGGAGTTCCCTTTGAACCTTCATCTAGAGGAAATCCTGATCATCCCACTAAATCTAAAAGTATGCTAAGAGCTTAGACTAAAAGATGCTCCTTTATTGGTTTGAGCTAACTGTTGTTTGAACAAATGCAGGAAATACTGCAATATATCCAAATGCGTCCTCATCTGTATTAACTGCCGGTGATAACCAAGCCAGGAAAGGGATGGTCCTGCCATTTACACCTCTTTCCATTACCTTCGACAGCATAAAATACTCGGTAGACATGCCTCAGGTATTTTCTTTTCTCGAGGAGGAAACTTGTTTCTGTGCAAGTAATCCAAATTGTTAGTTCCATGCATAACCATTATTTTGGAGTGCCTTTGGCATGTAGGAAATGAGAGCACAAGGCATCGAAGAGGATAGATTACTTCTGCTGAAGGGTGTCAGTGGCTCATTCAGGCCTGGAGTTCTTACAGCGCTGATGGGTGTAACTGGTGCTGGTAAGACTACTCTGATGGATGTATTGGCTGGGAGAAAGACAGGTGGGTGCATAGAGGGTGATATTTTCGTAGCTGGCTTTCCCAAGAAGCAAGAAACTTTTGCTCGTGTATCAGGTTATTGTGAACAGAATGATATCCATTCACCACACGTGACTGTCTATGAATCTCTTGTGTACTCGGCATGGCTGCGATTATCTGCTGAAGTTGATTCTGCAACTAGGATGGTTAGTTTCAATGACAGAAAGGTTGAATCCTGACTGCTTTTTTCCGAGTACCATCCGCCTGTGAACTAACTACCATAGCTAATTTGTTACAGATGTTCATTGAAGAGGTCATGGAGCTTATTGAGCTGAAATCATTGAGAGAAGCACTGGTCGGATTACCTGGTGTGAATGGCTTGTCAACCGAGCAACGCAAGAGGCTAACCATTGCTGTTGAGCTTGTTGCAAACCCTTCTATAATATTCATGGATGAACCTACCTCTGGACTTGACGCAAGGGCTGCAGCAATCGTCATGAGGACTGTGAGGAACACTGTGGACACTGGGAGAACTGTAGTGTGCACAATTCACCAGCCTAGTATTGATATTTTTGATGCTTTTGATGAGGTAAAAGGTCACGAAATTCTAGTGTTCTGAGTTGAATTTGAATCTCAGCCAACATGCATGATTCTTTAATATCTTTCTTTTCTGATTGCAGCTTTTCCTTATGGAGAGAGGCGGGGAAGAGATTTATGTAGGTCCAATAGGCCATCATTCTTGTCACTTAATTAAGTACTTTGAGGTGAGACAACAAGAGACTAGACATGTATGCCTTCCTTTATACTTCCAGTAATATAGTGGGTGGTTACAAATTCTGTCATCTTATCTAGGGAGTCAATGGAGTAAGGAAGATCAAAGATGGGTATAACCCTGCAACATGGATGTTGGAAGTGACTTCAGAGGCTCAGGAAGACATTCTTGGTGTCAATTTTAGTGATATCTACAAGAATTCAGAACTGTTTCGGTGCGTTAACCTACCACATCTTCAGGTTAGTTTAAAAAGGAACTGTAATCATGACTAATTATATATTGGTCTTGCATCGCAGGAGGAACAAGGCACTGATCAAAGAACTCAGCACTCCCCCACCTGGTTCAAGTGATCTTTATTTCCAAACTCAGTACTCAAGGTCTTTTCCGACACAATGCATGGCTTGCCTCTGGAAACAAAAATTGTCATATTGGAGAAATCCTTCATACACCGCAGTGAGGTTTTTCTTTACTGTAATCATAGCCTTATTGTTCGGAACCATATTTTGGAATCTCGGAAGCAAGAGGTAGGCATTTCTATCTAGACCCCCTACTGGCTCTCATGTTATTTGTCATCCATGTGCTTGCTACCTTGCTTTCTCTTGGACTGAAATTAATGGATTGCACCATTGAAATGACTCATTTCAGGAAGAAACGACAAGATTTATTCAATGCAATGGGTTCTGTCTATGCTTCTGTCCTTTTTATGGGGTGTACATATGCTTCATCAGTTCAACCAGTTGTTGCTGTCGAACGGACAGTCTTTTACAGAGAGAGAGCTGCAGGGATGTATTCAGCACTGCCGTATGCAGTTGGACAGGTATTTACTTTGAGGTCAACTAGCTGAAGTTATCCTTAAGCTTCTTGTGATTGTAATTGTGATTGTAATGTAAATCATCGAGCTTCTTGCAGTAGTCATGTAAAACCATCGTGGTGTAATCAAGTCGTTCCATTTGCAGGTTGCAATTGAGGTGCCGTATGTCCTCATCCAATCTGTTGTTTATGGAGTTATTGTGTATGCTATGATTGGGTTCGAATGGACAGCTGATAAATTCTTTTGGTACCTGTTCTTCCTGTCCTTCACGATGCTATACTTCACATACTATGGGATGATGACAGTAGGGTTGACTCCCAACTACAACATTGCTGCCATAGTTTCTTCTGCATTTTATGGAATATGGAATCTCTTTGCAGGATTTGTTATCCCCCGACCGGTAAGCTCAGCTCCATTACTCCCATACAAGCATCTAACGTTTATCTAAATGAATCTGCAACCTAAATTATCTGGTTTTCCTGTTGTCACCTCAGAGAATGGCTGTTTGGTGGAGATGGTATTATTGGGCATGCCCTGTTTCGTGGACGGTCTATGGATTGGTTACTTCACAATTTGGGGATGTTCACGAAAGGCTCGACTCGGGCGAGACTGTGGTTGAATTCCTGAGGGACTTCTTCGGATTCAGGCACGACTTCTTGGGAGTGGTCGCGGTGATGGTTGTTGGTTTTGCTGCTCTTTTTGCATTCCAATTCGCTGTGGCAATCAAAGTGCTCAACTTCCAAAGAAGATAATGGGAGAAACGTGACTCGAGTAGATTAGCCTTGGATCAAGTAATTTTATGTACATGTAGTTTTTTTGTTTTTGGGTGCATCAAGGAACACTTGACTACATGCTTTTCTCTTGATTGCAAGTGAAGAGGCTTGCAAATGGCTTCAGCATTAATTGTCAACTATAGGATGAACATTGTGGCCTTTGCATTTAGGAATGGGCTAATCATCTTCATACGTATGCATTCTTTTCATTTTTGGATGGTTGAGACTGCTATTAGTGATTTCAATTTGTTACATCCAATTAGATCATAATGACGAGAAATAATGATGATAGGAAAGTAATAATTAAAAGTACAATGTGCTCATTCTTAACAGAGAAATGCAGCATAGTTCAAAGGTGCAGCGGCAAACAGTTTTCCTATTTGTTGAATATTTTGTAGAGTACTAAAAAATGATTCGAAGAATAATCCTTTAATCAGCACTATTAAATCCTTTATAGATTTTATCGATCGGTTTTCCTTTTTTTGTTAGTTCAATCTAATGTTTCCATTATACATGAGAAATGCACAAAAGATATTTGTGCTCTCACTCGTGTTTATTTACTTACTATTGTCTCTAAGACTTCATTTTCTCCATCCAAGTCTCAAAATTTGTTTGAATTTATGAAAACAGTAATTCACCCTTATTGCAATTAACAATCCTAATAGATTCTAATTAATATTGTAAATCAAGAAAATTCAAGTTAATTATCTCAATTTGCTAAGATACAATTTACAAAACGTTATTAATTTGTGATGCCTTCAGATTTAGTAGTCTGAAATCTGATAGCGTTATCTTCGAACTTATGTCTTGAAATTTTATGACATAAAACTTGGGATTTTTTTTATACTGTCATCAATTCTATACATGCACAAGCAGATTCGTCTCTTAAATCCATAGCAATTTAGAGAGAGAAAGAGAGATTTCCCGCTTCCTTTGACTTGTTTTTATGACCACCTCGTGAAGTTAAAACTCTTGTGAATAATAACATTCCAATATGATGTAGGTATTTTTTTCTAACCATTAAATAGGTAATCTTTCTTACCCCTAAAACAAAAGTAAACCTTCGTATGTATCATAATGAGATTATTTTCTACATGAAATTCAATTCAGATTTAGTTGTTTGACATGAATATTAAATAAAAAATAATCGATGTCATATTGTACTGTATGACATGTTTTCTATATAAGATTATATTTTATGTCTGATATGATGTTGAGCAAAGATGAATATGAGCCGAGATCTTGTAAGATGTATCCAACGAAGCTCCTCGCTTAAGTTAAGTTTAGATTAAAAGAATTTAATCAAGTATAAAATTTATATGAATATAATCGAGTGTGAAGAAGGATAAAAAAAATGCATTATAGTATTTTTAGACAAAAATGCACTATAATAACTGTTTCCAACAAAACTCTTAAGTTAGTTTAGATTCAGAGGATTTAACTAAGTATCAAATCTATATTAATACAGTCGAGCATCGAAGAAGGATAGAAAGACCTAAGAGTAAGGACAGTGTTTTTAGGCAAAAATATATTATAAAAATTATTTTCGAGTTAAAATATGTGATTAGTCATTCGAGAAGTTTACCATGGCTTAAACGACTTAAAAAGAAACCTTCAACTAAAAAATTTCTCTTGAGAATATGGGCATTTTATAATGCGATCTTGGACCATTGCACTCAAAGTCATAGTTAAATACTCATGAGTCAATTATTAATGTTGCTATGTTGTCTACCTAGTATACTTGGCATCTTATGACATATTGACCAAATGGGCTAAAGTGTTTACAATGCTTTTATAAGAATAGATGTCCCTTGAATGAGTAACAGAAGTGAGTAAGAATCCATAAGATGAAGATAAGTGTCGACGAGTGCCACATACTTTTTTCTAGAAAAATGATGGGTAAGGATATATAGGATGAGAATAAGTATGTATAAATGCTACATATTCTCCTTCTAGAAGAGAGGAGATTAGGGTTTTATAGGATAGAGACATGCATCCACTCCAAAATCCTTGTATTTTAAGATGTATGCATGACATCCTTTTAGATAACTCATATAGGCCTAAGTCCAGGGCCAACATAAATTTACCTTATTTTCAAATCCTACTATAATCTAATAAGAAAATAAAATATGTAAGATAAACCCTATGTAAATATTTAGAAGACCTAGTTGGATGTATCAATCCAAATCTCTCAACATCTTCTTAGACCACTGTAATGATATGGTGGTAATATGATCCCCATCAATTCTCCTCCAAGGAAAAAAGAAAAAGAAAAAGCGAGATATTAGTCTAAGAGGGTTGAGCAATCCTAAATGACTAGAAACTATGAATCGACAAAGTCTCATGCAAGGGTCGTCGTGGTCTATCGGATCCTGATCTCGCGGCTGGTCACATTCGAGGCCTACACGTGATGATGAATCATGGCCGTCCATCAAGACACACATCTCGATGTCATGCCGACATGGAAGAGATATATAGATAGATACAAGTCGGAGCAATCCTAACTCGCCCGCTTGCCTTATGTTACCATGGACGAGTTCAACTAGTAAGCACGTGAGACAAGCAATGACTATATATATATAGTAAGCACGTGAGACAAGCAATGACTATATATAT